AAGAGGTAACTCAGCTCCTATGCACAAGACACAGAAATTACTTTGCTCTTCCAACATGTCTGAAGACTGAACATAAGTGAACTACTGACAGACGCGAAGGGTAGACATAGCCATCTAAGATGATGCTTGCTACACTTCTGCATTTCTGCCTTTTAAGGCCATGCATTATGGGTTACCTTTCGAGTTTTGACTTAAATGCCACTATCAATGAGGATACAAAAGGAAGGGGTTTGCTGTGTCTTCAAAGTCAACAACATACATCAAGAGCAAACTTGATGATAGAGAAGTAACCCTCTTCTATACATTGAAAAAGCCCTAAAACAAAAATATTTCTTTTATATCTAGGAGCATGATACTACTAGTAACATCTTCTACTTAAACTTATCATCCTCTCCTACAAAGGTCCTGAAGAAATTACAGAAAAAAATCTTCTAAATGATGATTTCATAAAACCTGGCCAGTACATCTACACAATCTATTAAGTACACAGACTTGTGAAGTAAAGCTATTTAGTACATGCAGACTGCAGTGACTGAACCAAACACACCCAATTTCTAAACTTGTTCTATTCAGTTGGGCAATTTTTAAACACATTATCTTTAAAACAAACTGTGCTTTGATCTTTAAACAACCGAATGATTCCATCTCAAACCAGCCATTCAGTAAACCAAATTTATACCAAAGCAATAAAGGTAAAAGGCTACTCTACCTTTAAACCAGCTTTAAGACATAAATTGTCACTGTGTTCCATGTGACGAAGGGTCATTTGTTTTAATTACTTCCCATTTTTATCTGATCAAATAAGTCAACATTTCACTGAGGAAGAGCATCTAATGATTTGTAAAGCTGATAAAACTGTCCTGTTTCAAGAAAAGCCCTTAAGAGATACTTAAACTGAACTTTATAAAATGCCGGTTTTCCTGTCTTATGGTTCCATTGATGAGCTAGCCCAGAACTGTGACTTTAAGTCATATTTCCAAAGATGGTAAAGCTAAAAACAGCAAAGTAATAAGGACAGATAGGTCACTTTTGGTAATGACACACAAATTAAACTTTCAAAACATGTGCATAGCTTTATTCATCTACTTAGATCTAACCTTTTTCATGGAGCTTCGGCAAAATTCGAGTGTGCAAAATGCATTTCTAAAACGTAATGCAAGCAAAGCTTTCACATTTACACTGGCAGGAAATACAGAAAAACTAACAAGTCACATTAGGGAGAGTTCAGATTTTCTTTTTTTTAATGACAAGAATTGCACAGTTTATTATTTTGAGACAATTGTTGCAGACATAAATATTTTAAAATTTTCTAAGCAAGGTGCTTTAACAACAAAAAAATTTGAAGTTGGAAAGAGCCAATAACTTGTATCATAGCTCACACAGAATTCCAAATTAAAGTGGACTCCATTATCTCCCTAGATTTTGCAAACAATACTTTTTATAACACTTTTTCATAACACTAAAGGAGACAGCAAGCTGAAACTTTTCAAAGCACAAAAAATGGTGTCGCCACATTACTTGAAGAAGGTGCTGAGGGGGGAGGAAAGGGAGTAAAGAATCCTCTTACTATGTCCCACTACAGAATAGCCACTAAGAACAACAACAACAAAAAAACCCAAAAAAAAGTAAATCACTTCCCCAGTTTATAAAATAGTTCCAGTTTGACAAGATCTGTAACTTTAAACAGAGAGCACCAGTTGGGCAATAGAATGAGCATTTCACACTGCATAAAAATTAGTGAGGTGGTAAGAACCATCAACTATCTCAGGCATTACTACATGGCCTTTCCAAAATTTTTTAATATACATGCAAGGCACATTGATATAAAAATAGATCTCTGGCCAACAAATATATTAAATAAGCAAATTAAAATTTTGGCTTTGTAATATTGGCAACATTAAAATATAACCAGATAGCTTTGGACCACACATCTTTCTCACATTCCTCCACCTCATTTGGTGTTTTCCACCCACTAATTTGGGTTCAATCTCCTTCAAGGTTGGGTATGTGCTTGAGAAATGACTTTTCCTCTTGTCAAGTAGCATTCCTAACTATACTTAAGTTTACCTTTGCTAAGAAAAAATACACTAGACAAGCAGAATAGTTGGGGTTTTGATTGATTTGCTTACAAATAAATCTGATTGGTTCAGGACAGTATTATTTCTCCTCTGCATGCAAACAAAAAATAAGCCCCAGTTTACATAGATGTGTTCTAAGAGATCAGCAACAAATCAATGACACGAATTCCTTTAACCATTCTTCTCAATTCCTCTTTTTGAGGCAGAGGGAGTAATAAAACAAAGACTTAAAATATTTTCAGTAGTAGAAGACATTTTAAGGCCAAAAAGTGTAGCATCAACAGAATTTTTATTTCTCTAAGTTATTGTCCTTCATAGACCAATATGAACTATGAATTAATTACTTGTACTCCCTCCCCAAAGATAATTTTTAAATTCACTCACTTTTGTTAGTGGCTGTGCTACAGGAAAAGTATCAAAGAAACCTATGGTATATGTATGGTATATAGTAATGTAAAAAGTGCATCACATTCTTGATTTTCAGTTTCTCATAGCAGCAGCAGGATTAATCTAAGACAGAAAACAGTTGTATTTTCATTCTTAAAATGAAACAATATCTAATGAAATATATTCAAGATCATGAAAAGATCCTCCTCTAAAAAGAATAAATGAAAACAGACTAATAGACAAACAGGGGTAAACTAAAGGCATTCATTCATATTTACATATTAAAACCACTTTTGTTAACACCAAAACTTTACAACTAGCAAAAGAAATAAGCATTTTAAGAATAAAGCAGACATTACTAAAGCAGTATCCATTTTTGGAGCCTATGATTAGCACCTGAGGGAAAAAGGTATATGGAAAACTATATAATTTACGTCAAGTTGATTTGTTGGTCTGTAGAATACAATTTTGATACACAGTAAAAGTGAAATTAAACTGGAATATGTAGCTATTTTAACAAGGCTGTAGAAAAGGGATACTGCAGTATTATAAAATGGCCTTAAAACACAATTTTATGGATAAATAGGGAAGTTTGAATCAACAATCCCATCACACGTGAGGATGACTATTCCATAGTTTCTAGCCCACAACTGCTATTTGACATTCCCAGTAATGCAAAAACAACATACCATTCAAGCTTCACTGGGTGTTATTACACAGACAACTTAAAACTATTGCTGGCTTTAACTACACTAAGACCTTTCTTGAGCAGCAATATGGCGTGAAATTTAATTTAAAACTCAGTAAAGCAGTACTTTTAAGTGGAGCCAATGATTCACCGTTCTTTAAATCAACCCAGAGTGGTCTTGGTTCTCATACATCTGGACAGAGTGATGTACATTTAAAAAGAAACATTTTAAGATATCCAAAGCAGAAGCCCATCTTTTTCACCATAAAAGAAACTTGGTGCTCTGTTGATTAATTACATTAATAAAAATAACATTGGTATTAAGAACGAATGTTAACTTATGTGCCTCTGGCAAACTTCGAGCAGTTATTTATGCTTCTAGTTTTGTCCTCTGCTCCTCCCTTTTAAACATATAACAAAACTTGGAGAGGAAAAAAAGATGAGGAAATCCTACCTTCTTTCCTTTAAAATCCAACAGTTAAGTCCTTGATAGGTTGAAAGACACTGCCCTATCAGACTCTACCTTGACTGGTACAGCACTCAACAGACCTGATCATAAAAACTACTGCCCATTATATTTATTTGTCCCACTACAGCATATCTGTTCTGCAAGGTTAGCATACATATACAAGAGGGATCATATGTTATTTGAGGACATGGCCCAGTGGCATAACTATACCCATAATCCTTGGAAACTAGACTTTTAACTTATTTCTCTGAAGAGAGGCTTGCAAGAATGTTTCTCTCCTTATTTAGTGGAATTAAAGTTGAGTAAAGTCCTCTTCCAATAGCCACTTGGTACATGACATACGTTTTCACACTAAATGGCTTTTTTGTGTGTAAAAAAGTTTATAGCAATTACAAAAGATAAACCATTAGATGCCTCTAATATGGGTTAGCAACAACCAAGTCAAACTACTGCTGCTGTAAGGGAGTATTGTGGACAATTCCCGTAGTTGAGGTTTGTCATATTTTCCCTAAAAACTGCTATTTGTAAAAACAATGCAGCACTTTTCCTTTATAAAATTTTTGCAGATTCTGAGTGATGACTATAAGCAGATGACTGAGGAAGACAGCAAAATTCTAAAATGGAGAAACTCTGGCCATTTACTTCAAGAAAAAACTGTCATTAACAAATTCTTAATTATTGGCTATGCCCTCCTAGAAAGCATAAGGACTACTATAGATGCTGTAAATACACTATGTGAAAGTTCATTACTAAGGAGGTTAAGAGGAAAAGACTTTGCAATTAACTTCAGTTCAGCAAAGTGGGGGTGAATAAGGAGAAATATAAATACACCCTGTCTCTGTGGGAAAGGGGAATTATTCAAGACATCTACAGGAGTGGTATGTGACACAGAAGCCTACAATAATCAAGATAGATTTAAAAAGAAATCTTCACCCATAATTAGTATCTTCATAGCTATTAAAAAAATAGGTCATGATTTCATTCTTAGTGCCATTTTTCAAATACTACCCTTTTAAGGATTTAAACCACCTGACTTTATCCTGTGTAATGAAAACAAATGGCACAAAATAAATACAAGTTCATTCTCTGAATACTAATGTCTTACACACATTCATTTACTAATTTTAATATCTCCATCTTTCCCTTGCACACAAGCACTCAACACACATACACACACATCTTTTTCAGTCTTTATAATGGAGGGATGTTAAAAATCCCCTCTAGACTGTATTTGGTTTATGCTACAGTACTAATACTCTGAGTTGAAGGAAAATTGTTTATACCAAACAATAACACATTAATGTTACTTAAATGTGCTAAATTAATCACAGCTGAAGTTTGTTTAGAAGCTTACATAAAAACAATCAGAAAACAGATCAACTCTTAAGATTTTTTTTAATAAGTGCTCTGTAAGGAATTGTGTGAGGACCTAAGGAGAAAGATTGCAACAAGTAAGAGTTAAATGTTACCAAACAGCACAAAGGAGATCTGTCCCAAAGTCCTGCTTGTACCTAGGCAATTAAGTCCATTAGCCCAATGCCCTCCAAAATACTGACAGTTAATATGATGGGGCACTAGGGTTCCCAGAAAGTTAAGAGACATTCCTAACTATATACCTCTAACCATATAATCAAGGAAATTTCAGTGGAGAAATCAAAGTGAAATGTTGCATTGTTTTATTTAGAAGTGAGACTCTCAAAAACCTTTGGACAAACAGAGAAGGGATACATTCTCTTTTTGGCTTCTCTGAACATGGAGGCCTGAGGGATATGGAAGGAAATTAGGAAAGTGATAGCATTCTAAAGATAATCAAGTGTTGCTTCTAAGTTAAAAAGCCCGATTCAGAGGGGGGCTGTTTTTTTTCTTTTTCTCCTTTCTAAATATATATTCATTCAACCTCTGTATGTCACAAACCCAGAAAGTTTCTTGTGAGTTGTGAGACAGAACTTTTTAAATTCCAGGCAAGCAAAATGGACATTTAAAAAAAGGGGGAATCTGGCCCTAAGGCGACAAGTGGTTACACAAGGCAATTGAACACACAGCAGAACTTTAAAACCTGTAAAACAAACTGGAGCCTTTTTTTCCCTTTAATCAACCTTATATCTTTTTTTTTTTAACTTTTTGAAAATTTTTATTTAAAAAAAAAACACAAAAACACAGACTTTTTCACTTCAGTATGTGGTATGTTGCATTTTCCAGTTTGTTCAATGCTTTAAAGCTCAAGGATGCCTCTGCTTTCAATTGTACATGGGCCTGAAGCATCCTAGCTTTTGGCAAGCAGGCAGGAGACTCAACAAAAATCAAAATAGGAACAAGGCAGACTAAATGCAGGGCACATCTGTAAACATATTATACATTTGAAAATTACAATATCAGTAAAAGTGATACAGTTTACAGGTGAAATGAAACTATCTGGAACTGGCCTACCACAAGTTTCTGAACCTGGACTGATACAATAAGTTATTATATATATATATTATGTATAAAAAAGTTTTGTTTACATCAAGTGGAATTGGCAATCCATGCTTATACTTTTAAAATCTAAGCAGGGCAGAAATCCGGACTAAAAAGATATTTTCTCTACTCTATGTTGAGTCCAACAGCTTCTTTCATGAACTACTTGTTAAAAGCCTCAAATAATCAACAAAACAAGAAAACCCACCCATACTACAGTCGCTCAAAACTGGACATTTCTTAAGCAAAGGGGTAGAGCAAAAGTAGTTACTTTCTCCCCCAAGTCTCAGGGGATCCAGTCTATTTTTATTAAAAGACTAATTTTTTTTTTATATAAATGCCCTGCTATTTTAACCTGTATATGACATACATGGATATACTAATTTCTGTGTGTGTCTGATGTGATGCTGTGTCAGGCCAGACAACTTGTTATTATGCCACTAACATCACCCAATCATAATTGGACCCTTATTTCTGCGCACACACACACAAAAAAAATTTATTTTAGCATGCTATACACAAGCTGCAGTGCAACAAGATGGTAATGTAATGTAAGACAGGGCTAATGCTCTTCTCTGCCCAAAAGAAAATTTCCAGAATTTCACATTATTTTCCTTAAAAATCCATTTTGCTCTAGTAATAAAATATATTTATTAAGATATAATTAGAAGCTAATAAGCTCAGAAGTATAGTTTGCATGAAAACACACCTTCTAAATAGGCAGGGTTTATTACCTTCTTACTGGCTGAAAACATGAAAAAATGTTCATGTTCAAGGACTTTTTTCTTCCCCTTTTAGATTTTGCTGAGAAATTAAAAGAGAATTTACAGAAAGGTATAGAAGTTTTTCTTAGATGTTTGGTGAAAAACAAGGAAAACAGTACATTTAGTGTTAGTGACAGAGAGCAAGTCTGGAGCACCTACAGTTGAAAAGCAGAATATATTTTTGCTCCCAGTTATACAATTACATTAAAATATGGGCACAGGAATATTTTTCCATATCGAATATCTAAGCCAATTACTTGTTCTGTAACTTTTCTTTAAATGACACTCATGGATTCTTCAGTTGTTAAAGTCCAATATGTAACCAAAGCCAAGTTAACTATGTACCACCAACTATTCCAGAATTGTAGAACTTCAGTGCCCTCCCCTATTCCCACCCCACAAAAAATAAAAGGAAAGAAAATATTTCCCCAACACCCCACAGAGGCTGCTTAACTCCTGGCAAGACATGCAAATCATATTCGCTAAAAAAAATACAACCCCGCAAACTTCAAGGCATTTATCCAGCATTCTCGCAGGGCTTAAAAGTAAAACCAAAAGATCAAGGGAGGAGTTGGGGGAAAATGTTGAATCATTCTGGGTTCCCCGTGATTAGTGTATCACTTTAGTCACAGAACAAGATACAGAGATCTTTTAAGTGGATTTGCCTCTCCAGTGGGTCATTTGTTGCCCAAGTTGATGACAGCAGGAACTTTAGAACCACACTTGTTAAGTCTGTATTCATTAATCACTTGCATTCACACTTAAAACAAAAACTAACAAAAGAAAAAAGGAAAAAAAAAAAAAAAAAACCAAAAAACTATTCAGTACCGGAGATTAAATAACCATGTGTAGTCTCTTGAAATAAATTTGATTCCTTAAGAAGTCTAATTACTTTCAGTTGCCTTTTTTAAATAACTATATATATATATGTATATATATATATATTTGTATATATTATCCTGTGATTCTACTTATGGTTCCTCTGCTGCGTTGAAGATCTAGGAGCATAAAAGCCTTGTGTCCCCCATGAACGGTGGCTCTAATGCTGCAGAAAGGTTACAAATAGGCAGTCTGGTCCTTCATTGATCTGGACTATCCATGGCTTCATTGTAAGTGATTATCCTTTTGGGATCTGGAGAGAAGGTTAAAACATAAATAAAAGTAAGGCCAGGAATCTCAACATGTCCATGTTCCAAAAACATATCCCAAATAATCATCATCTGTATTACCCCCTTTTTAATGAAAAAACAACTTAAAAGGCTATTTCCTCTCTGCATTAGACATATGTATGATCAGTTTCTCAACCTAAAAAGTAGCTATTTGAAATTCCAAAGAATTCTCAGTAACAGGGTCCTCTAGCCAGTGAGGGCCTCAACTCCTACAGATCAGAGATGGTTTAAATCAGTTAATAAGAGTTTTCCTCATGCATTTCTACTGATTACAAAAGCAGTATGTTTGAAAAAAGCAAAGAAAAAAGTTTAATTCACTAATAACCCAATATTAAAAGAAACACCTCAGTTTATTTTCTTTTGCTTTTCTCAGTAAATGAAATCAAAATTTTAACCAGTGTGGAAGGTTTGAAAGGAACTTTACCTAGCACCAATAATTTCAGGTTAAATTAGTTTGGCAGAATTACCAATGCAGTCCTAATCATGACTTTTTTCTTCCTCCTAATTTACCACAGCATTGCTGGCCTTTATTCTCAGCAATAGCAAAAACCTATGGATCTCCTAGGTTCAAAATGTAAAACTGCTAGAATGTCTGGACAAAGACACCAAGGATATTCTGAAATGTTTTTCTAAATTCCTATTATTTAGCTGTATGCCTAATAATATTATTTAGCTGTATGCCTCTGGAAAGGTAACTTTTAAATTATATAGTATTTCTCTCATAAGTACTTCTTAAAGTATACACTGCTTAAAAAAAAAAAAAAAAAAGGCAAACCAACTAAAACTGTCACCTAATGGGAAAATTTAAAGACCTGAAATTAATATTGGAAGAATTCAAGCTCACAGTGGCCTGAGAATCAATCTAGTTTAGTACAGACATAATATAAAAACAGGTAGGTCTACTTTTGCAGGGTGTATTTTTTAGTCTATTTTCTTTTTATTTGTGTTTGATTAAGAAGGTACACAGAAGCCAGGCTCGGTGGCTCAGCCTGTAATCTCGCGCCTTTGGGAGGCTGAGGTGAGTGGATTGCCTGAGCCCGCGGGTTCGAGACCCGCCTGGGCAAGCAAGACCTCATCTCTACAATAAATCAAAAAATCAGCCGGGCGTGGTAGCGCATGCCTGTAATTCCGGCTACTCGGAAGGCTGAGGCGGAAGGATCGCCGGAGCCCCGCAGGTCGAGGCTGCGGTGACCGGGAGCGGCCACTGCACTCCAGTCTGGGCGACTGAGTGAGACTCCAACTCAAAAAAATAAAAATAAAAGATACACAGAAAGCAACTTAAAATAATCTGAGAGTTTATTAGTTATCTTCAGACCATGGCTGTGTTAAAACAAAGAAAAAAGACTTGACCTAAGAACAAACGGGGAGGTTGAAGAGCAATGTTGGGAAATCAGAGGAACCTACATTCTAGTCCTGCCCCTCTATAGCTTATAGTAACTTCTCTGGGCCTCAGTTTCCTAATATGTAAAGTAAAATTAGCTGGGTGTGGTGGCACATGTCTGTAGTTCCAGCTACTTGGAAGGCTGAGGAGAAAGGATCGCCTGAACCCAGCAGATCGAGGCTGCAGTGACCATGAGAGTGCCACTGCACTCCAGCCTGGGTGACAGAGTGAGACTCTAGACTCAAAATAAAAAAAGAAAGAAAGAAAACCCAAATCTATTTGTCAATGACTAGACAGGAATTTTTCTTTTTCTTTTTTGGAGTTAGAGTCTCACTCTGTCACCCAGGCTAGAGTGCAGTGGCATGCTCGGCCACCGCAACCTCAACCTGCTGGGCCCAGGCGATTCTTCCGTCTCAGCCTTCCAAGTAGCTGGAACTACAGGAATATGTCACCACGCCTGGCTAGTTGTTTGATTTATTGTAGAGACGAAGTCTCACCAAGTTGCCCAGGCTGGTCTTGAACCCAAGGGCTTGGGCAATCCTCTTGCCTCAGACTCCTGAAGTGTTGGGATTACAGGCTTGAGACACCACGCCCAGCCTCATTTTAAAATCAATCAAAACTTTCACTTTATTTCATGTATTTCACAATAATTATACTTTAATATATTCAAAAAGAAGGCGTACAATAATTAGGATAACCAATTTTAATTTCTAACCATCATTTCAGAAAATATACAACCCAAATAAGGTTTTTGTTTTTTTTTTTTTTTTTTTGAGTTGGAGTCTCACTCTGTCGCCCAGACTGGAGTGCAGTGGCATACTCCCGGCCACCGCAGCCTCGACCTGCTGGGCTCCAGCTATCCTTCCACCTCAGCCTTCCAGTAGCTGGAATTACAGGCGCGCACTACCACGCCCAGCTAATTTTTTGATTTATTGTAGAGATGAGGTCTCACCAAGTTGCCCAGGCAGGTCTCGAACCCACAAGCTCAGGGAATCCACTCATCTCAGCCTCCCAAGGCATGGGATTACAGGCTGAGCCACCGAGCCCGGCTTAGATAAGGTTTTAAAAATCTTATTTTTCTGAACCATGAATTTCAGTTCTTAAAAGTATTCCTTGTCTACCACACAAATACAAGACAGACTCACCAAAAGTGGTTTCCTAGATTAAAAATTTATGGTTTGTCTTACTTTCATAATTGGGAAGGGAAAAACCATTCATACTCTTCATCCAGTAGGTAAAGAGTACTTTCATATACTCCATCCTTAGCAATACTGATATGGTAGCTAGTGCCTTTTGACTGTAGTTATTAAATAACTCAAAATACGCACTAGTGAATATTGATTAGCATTAACATTTAAAGTAACCCAACCTTACCTTGCTTCTGTAAATTCCAAATAGATTCCATTTCTGCAAAGAAAAGAAAAAGGATTATTTTTACACTAAGTTTCAGTGAGCAAAGTTTGAAGCTATGCTTTTGTTTTAAATTTTAAAATCCTAGACCGATTACTTCGGTGCTGGAAGAAGGGTTGAAAATAGCACAGCTATTTGAGGTTCAGACAAAGCACTCATTTTCCTATAATTCTTATTTTCTAGTTTTTTTTGAGTTGGAGTCTCACTCAGTCACCCAGACTGGAGTGCAGTGGCCGCTCCTGGCCACCGCAGCCTCGACCTGCTAGGCTCCGGTGATCCTTCTGCCTCAGCCTTCCAAGTAGCCAGAATTACAGGCAGGCGCTACCACACCCGGCTGATTTTTTGATTTATTGTAGAGATGAGGTCTCGCTGCCCAGGCGGATCTCAAACCTGCGGGCTCAGGCAATCCACTCACCTCAGTCTCCCAAAGGCGTGGGATTACAGGCTAAGCCAGCGAGCCCGGCTCTTTCTAGATTATTATTACCTGAAATCAAATTGCCAGAATAATTTTCTCTTCACAAATAGCAAAGATATGAAGAAGCATGATACAGATAAAATTACTGTTTCTTATTCTAGCTCATCATTATTCACATTATTTTAAAAATCACCAAGTATTTCTTGGCAACCCTTTACTACACAGTGAGGTACCCAAATCTTTTTTTTTTTTTTTTTGAGTTGGAGTCTCACTCTGTCGCCCAGACTGGAGTGCAGTGGCCGCTCCTGGTCACTGCAGCCTCAACTTGCTGGGCTCCAGTGATTCTTCCGCCTCAGCCTTCCAAGTACTTGGAACTACAGGTGCGCGCTACCACACCCGGTTAATTTTTGATTTATTGTAGAGATGAGGGCTTGCCAAGTTGCCCAGGCAGTCTCGAACCCGCGGGCTCAGGCGATCCACTCACCTCAGCCTCCCAAGGCAGTGGATTACAGGCTGAGCCCGGCTCCAAATCTCTTAAACAATGTATTCAAAGATTTGACTAATTAAATTTGATGCTTAATTAGTTTGGCCATCCAGGCAAGTGGTTCTAAGCTCTAAATCACAAACACTCCTATTTTAACCGTTAGGTCAAACTGCCAATCATACCCATTTATAATGACATCATCATTTATTCTAATTTCATTGTGCCTACTTAGGCATCTTATAAGGGAAAGATACATATGTACGTAACCAAACTATAGTGATATACAGAGAGAAAGCAGTAAGAACTCTACTTGGCATACAAGAAAGCTTCAGGGGGATACCTAAAGTCTTAACGAAGAAGAGAGTAGTTGACTAATTACAAGAACCAAAGAATTGGACCTTGAAAGGAAAATACTCTACCAGGAAATTAGTTTAATAAAAAATTACTTCGTAGCCGGGCTCAGTGGCTCAGCCTGTAATCCTGCGCCTTTGGGAGGCTGAGGTGAGTGGATGATTGCCTGAGCCCGTAGGTTTGAGACCCACCTGGGCAGTGAGACCTCATCTCTACAATAAATCAAAAATCAGCCAGGCGTGGTAGTGCGCGCCTGTAATTCCGGCTACTCGGAAGGCTGAGGTGGAAGGATCGCCGGAGCCCAGCAGGTCGAGGCTGCGGTGGCCGGGAGCAGCCACTGCACTCCAGTCTGGGCGACAGAGTGAGACTCCAACTCAAAAAAAAAAAAACTTACTTCATAATAGGAATGAACTATAACAAACACTGAGGATAAGTACTCTTTCTATGGTCATAAAATTATCAAAGGACAAAAAGTTTACTTTACTCTGTATAATTGTATTCTATGTAACTATATTCTAATTTATCAGCAATCAGTTATAATTAAAAATAAAACTGGAGGCCATGTAAGATACTAAAACTTGGGTTTATAGTTAAGGCACAACATACTCCCTTCCCAGACTAAAAGAAAATAAGTATAGAATATAGACCTAAAAGCGTGACTTTCTTATAATATGTGTAATGGATAAGCGCAGGGAATGATAGACTCATGCTCCCATATCTCCCTCTCACCCCTGGCAAAAAAATCAAAATCATGTGTAAAAGTTACTAAGATTTTTGAAAATTTATCAGAATTGGATGTTTGATCAATAGGTTAACAACTCAAAATGATCAAATTAATTATCCAGTCAAAATCCCACTCAAGCTATCACAGCTATTCCCTAATTCAACCAAATCTTGGAATGATGTGGTTAAAATGTGCCAACTGAAGCTTAATTGTATGGTATCACCTTTAAATCTCTGGTCAAAGATAGGCAGGAAAATCCCCCTTTCCCTGGGAGGTCTAAGAAGGGATGAGAACTATAATCAACCAAAAAAGCCCCCCAAAACAAAACAAAAAACAGACAAAATGCAATTCTTGTCATGGAGATCATAATTATTACTATAACACAACTTCTAATTCCATTCGTTTCAAACAATGAGAAATAACTGAAAAGTCTTATAAAGAGCCTGTTATTTTACAAAAATGGCATATTTTAAGAAGTCCAAAGATAAGCCTTGCTTTCGTTGACCTAACGGCAAAAAATTTAATCCAACACAACTAATGTTTTTATTTTAATGAAAGCAGACACTTCACTTTTTTTTTTTTTGAGTTGGAGTCTCACTCTGTTGCCCAGGCTGGAGTGCACACTCACGGCCACCCCAGCATTGACCTGCTGGGCTCAGGCAATCCCTCTGCCTCAGCCTTCCAAATGGCTGGAACTACAGGCACACGCCACCATGGCCGGCTACACGCTTCACATTTTACAGCAAATAAATTCCTGAAGAATATACAGCAATTCCTTGATATAATTTTAGGTATCTTTACTGCAAAGATAACTCTATACTTAGATGTATGTTGAGGAAGTTAATCAAACATTCCGGTCTATGTGCTAACATTTTCTTTTTTTTGAGTTGGAATCTCGCTCTGTCACCCAGACTGGAGTGCTGTGGACGCTCCCGACCACGGCAGCCTCGACCTGCTAGGCTCCGGCAATCCTTCTGCCTCAGCCTTCCAGTAGCTGGAACTACAGGCGCGTGCTACCACACCAGGCTAATTTTTTGATTTATTTTAGAGATGAGGTCTCGCCAAGTTGCCCAGGCAGGTCTCGAACCAGCGGTATCAGGCAATCCACTCACCTCAGTCTCCCAAAGCACAGGATTACAGGCTGAGCCACCGAGCCTGGCTAACATTTCCTTTCTCTTCCCCACTGCAAGCCTCAACCTGTCCCTGCACTTCAAGAGTCACAATAACAACCACACTACTTTAAAAGCAAAGTAAAAACATACATGTTTTAGAAGCCAAAGAATTATTTGCAAACATCCAATTTCTTTTTTTTTTTTTGAGTTGGAGTCTCACTCTGTCGCCCAGACTGGAGTGCAGTGGCCGCTCCTGGCCACCACAATCTCGCCTGCTGGGCTCCGGCGATCCTTCCGCCTCAGCCTTCCGAGTAGCTGGAACTACAGGCATGCGCTACCACGCCCGGCTGATTTTTTGATTTATTGTAGAGATGAGGTCTCGCTGCCCAGGCGGGTCTCGAGCCCGCAGGCTCAGGCAATCCACTCACCTCAGCCTCCCAAAGGCGCGGAATTACAGGCTGAGCCGCGGAGCCCGGCACATCCAATTTCTTTAATAAAGACATATCCTGATTTCAGCTTAAGGTTTTACTCAAATACATTTCTTTTTTTTTTTGAGTTGGAGTCTCACTCTGTTGCTCAGACTAGAGTGCAGTGGCACACTCCGGGCCACCGCAGCCTTCACCTGCTGGGCTCCGGCGATCCTTCCGCCCCAACCTTCCAAGTAGCTGGAACTACAGGTGTGCGCTACCACACCCGGTTAATTTTTTGATTTATTGTAGAGATGAGGTCTGGCCAAGTTACCCAGGTGGGTCTCGAACCCGTGGGCTCAGGCAATCCACTCACCTCAGCCTCCCAAAGCGCGGTATTACAGGCTGAGCCACCGAGCCCAGCTATACATTTCTAAATTATTATGGTAAGAAATTTTTATTACCCTCAAAGGGGAGCTCTGGTGAATTTGATCATGGCTTTTGAAGTAGAAAAAGGGATGCATGATGTAGCCATGGGCAGGCCTAGCTTCCAGTCAAGAAATAAATTAACATTATCTGAAGTGCTGAGCTGGAAGCATATGCAATTCTCCCTCCTGCTCTTTAATATGAAGTACTTCTAGAGTATCAGCAATTTCATTTTCTTGATCAAAATTTAAAAGTTTTGGTCGGGCTCGGTGGCTCAGCCTGTAATCCCAGCGCTTTGGGAGGCCGAGGTGAATGGATTGCCTGAGCCCGCGGGTTGGAGACCCGCCTGGGCAACTTGGCGAGACCTCATCTCTACAATAAATGAAAAAAATCAGCCAGGCACGGTAGCACGTGCCTGTAATTCCAATTACTCGGAAGGCTGAGGCAGAAGGATAGCCAGAGCCCAGCAGGTCGAGGCTGCGGTGGCTGGGAGCGGCCACTGCACTCCAGTCTGGGCAATGGAGTGAGACTCCAACTCAAAAAAAAAAAAAAATTAAGAGTTTCATGGCCTGGCGCGGTGGCTCACATAACTGTAATCCCAGTATTGCAGGAGACCGAGGCCTGAGGCGAGAGAATTGCTTGAGCGCAGGAACTCAAGACCAGCTAAGACAAGACGAGAGATCCCATCTCTACAAAAAAATTTAAAAACTAGCCAGGAATGTCTGTGTGTGCCCATAGTCCTAGCTATTTTGAGAGGCTAAGGTGGGAGGGTCACTTGAGCCCAGGTGGTTGAGGGTGCAGTGAGCTATGATGGTGCCACTGAAACTCCAGCATGGGCAACAAAGTAAGATCCTATCCTAAAAAAAAATTTAAAAAACCCGCACTCGGTTTCTCAGCCAGTAATCCTGCGCTTCTGGGAGGCTGAGGTGAGTGGATTGCCTGAGCCCGCGAGTTCGAGACCTGCCTGGGCAGCGAGACCTCATCTCTACAATAAATCAAAAAATCAGCCAGGCGTGGTAGCGCACGCCTGTAATTCCGGCTACTCAGAAGGCTGAGGCGGAAGGATCGCCTAGGCAAC